TCCTCCTCCTCCTCCTCCTCCTCCTCCTCCCCCCCCCCAGGAGGCCGTGATGTGCTTCCTGGAGCGGGTACGCGGCCAGGCAGAGGCGGGCTGCCGTGGCCGCCTGCCCCACCTCCCCCACCCTGTGCGATCCTGCTACCGCTCCTGCCTCCTCTCTCGGGTCGGGCGGCAGGGGGAGACGTGGCTGTCATAATGTGGTTCTCGGCTCGGTGCCGCGCGCACTCGGTTTAACGGTCGCAAGAGCTTCCCGAATGGAGGGCGGGTGGTTTTCACAACGTGGTTCTCGCCTCGGTGACGCCCACCTTCGTTGTTACTGTTTGCAAGAGTATGACGGATGGAGGGTGGGTGGTTTTCAAATTTTGGTTTTCGCCTTGGCGCCGCCCACATTCTTTTCAGACGTTCGCAAGAGCGTCGCGGATGGAGATCGGGTGGATTTCAACATGTGGTTCTCGTGTTGGCACCGTGCACATGCGTTTTAAGCGCTTACCTGAGCTTCGCGGAAGGAGGGCGTTTTTTCTTCAAAAGGTGGTTCTTCCCTCAGCGCCGCGCACATTCTTTTGTCTGCAGGAGCTTCGCGGATTGAGGGCGGTTTCTTTTCAAACCGTGGCTCTCGCCTTAGCGCCGCGCTCTTGTGTTTTACAATGTTGAAAGAGTTTCATGGGTGGAGGGCGGTTTCTCTTCAACCTGTGGCTCCCGCATTAGCGCGGCACGCATTCGTGCTAAACGTTTGCAAGAGTTTCACGGATGCGGATGGAAGGCGGTTTGTTTTCAACATGTGGTTATCGCCTTAGCGCCGCGCGCACTCTTCTTAACACTTTGCAGCAGTTTCAAGGATTAGTATGGTCGTCGTCTCGGATTCTTTGGCACGGGATAGGATGTTTGATTCGCGGTGCTGGCGTAAACAGACATGCGTTCTGTCACGGCTTAGGATTGTCAGGGCACACCAGTAATGTTGGTTCGCGGCGTTGAAGTCCCTGAAATGGTGTTGTGGCGCTGTTAAAGATTTTCTGGGTATTGTCTTGCAGCGGGGCTCTTCCCGCAGTGAACATGGATCATTACAGGAGCCTATGAAGAGGGATCTTGGCAGGAGGGTTTATTGCAACATCGTTGATGAGCCTTGGGTTTACACTGGTCCTCCTCGTTCTCCTCTTCCCGTCCCCTCTTCTCCTTATCTTCCTCCTCCTCCGCATTATCCTTCTCCTCTCCTTTTCCCTCCTCCTCCTTATTCCCTCCCCCTCCCCGCTTCCCCTTCTCCGCTTCCTCCTCCTTTCCTTGTCCTGCCGCCTCCTCCTCCCCTTCTCCTTCTCCGCGCCCTCGTCCCTCCTCCTCCCTCCCCCTTCTGCATCCTCCGCCCCGTCAGGAGGAGGAGGAGGAGGAGGAGGAGGAGGAGGGAGAAGAGGACGAGGAGACTGAGGAAGAGGAGGAGGAGGAGGAGGAGGAGGAGGAGGAGGAGGAGGAGGAGGAGAAGGAGGACGAGGGCTTTGCAATAGGGGAGTTGGTGCGCAGGAGCCAGCAGGCGTCGGAATGAGTAGAGGAGGATGATGAGGAGGCGGAGAGTGAGGCTGCGGCCTCGGAGGAGGGGAGGAGTGATGTAGGAGGAGCGCTCCCGAGCGTGAAAAGAGGAGGAGGGGTGGGGAAGAGGAGCCAGCAGGCGGAGGAGAGGTCGGCGGGGAGGAGGAGGAGGAGGAGGAGGAGGAGGAGGCAAGACTTGGAGGGAGGAAGGCGGTTGCACGGAGGAGGCCGCCGGACGAGGCAGAAGGAGGAGGAGACGGTGCAGCAGTCAGCGGGCCCGCGCCCTGGCGAGGCGGAGGGCCCCAGCTCCGGGCAGCCGGCGCCGGCGCTCGCGCATGCCGCGGCGGGGCGGGCGCTGGACGCCCGCGGGGGCGTGCCGGGGAAAGTGCGCCCGCGCCTCGACTCGAGGAAGAAGAAGCCGCGGCATGCACATAAACTGGTGTGGCGCTCCGCGCAGAGCGCCCCAAGCTTATGTGTTGATGCCGGTCTTGCTTCTTCTATCGGCCTGGTCGATCCGACTCGATCTCGACCGGCCCGATGTCGATGTCTAAGTCGATCTCGATCCGACTCGATCTCGATCCGACTCGATCTCGATCGGCTCGATGCCGAGCGCGACCGGCCCCATCCGACTCGATCTCGATGCTCCCGACGGCCCGATGCGGCCCGCCGGTTGCGTGGCGCTGCTGCGCATCCTGCCGAGGCCGATGCGACCCGCTTCGGGCTGCGTGCCGCTGGCGGCGGGCGAGCCGCTGCGCCTGCCGGTGCTGCCTGGCTCCGAGGCTCGGTGCTGCCTGGCCCCGCGAGTCCCCTGCTCGGCCACGCTCGACCACGCCCTGCCCTGCGTGTCTCGCCGCGCCTCTCCTCCCCCTCCTTCCCCTCCTCCTCCCCCCGCTCCTCCTCCTCCTCCTCCTCCTCCTCCTCCTCCTCCTCCTCCTCCTCCTCCTCCTCCTCCTCCTCCTAGGTGGCTCCCCGCGTGGCCCCCCCTTCGCCCCCCCGCAGCCATTGCCCGCCGCGGGGGCGCGGGAGCCCGCCATAGGGAACCCCCAGCCGCCCCAGGCTCTGCCTGGCGCGCCAGCCGCCTGCGCGGCTGCTGCCTCACCCGCGGGGTTGGAGGCCACTGGGCGGTCACGCTCCCCAGCATGGCAATCGGAGGCTGCGCAGGCATCGCGCAGCCGCGCGCCGACGCCTTCGCAGTGAGGAGGACACTCGCCTCCTGCACCTACAACACGGCTCACGCCCGCCGTGTATGGGCCGTGGCGCTGGTCGCAGCCGCGCGCCAGATGCAGGCGCAGCGGCTGGTCGTCGTGGTCGCGGTGCTGGTGATCCTGGTGGCGAGCGGTGGGCTTGCGTTGCCACCAGGCAGTGTGGGTTCGCCCGCAACTTTAGCACCAACGAGAGGTGCTACATGTGCGGGCGGGACAAGCAGGGCAGGTCAGACCCGACTGGGGCGGTTCCTCAAGGCCAGGGTCGTCGAGCTCGCAGCACTTCCCTTGGGCGCCGAGCCACAGGCCCAGACGCCGCCGCAGGGGCTCAACCTGCCGAGGGCGACGACGTCGCCAAGGCGCGCAAGGCCCTCGCCGCCTTGCGACGCTTGCAGTTGGCTGAAGATAACGAGTTGCTGGTTAGTGCTCGCCGTCAGCTGGCGGAGGCTGAGGCTCGCGAGCATGCGGGCCGCACGCCCGACGACATGCTCAGGCGGGCGCTCGATCGCCATGCGAGCAAGCAGCGCGAGCATGACGCGCTCAGGGCCGAGGTCCAGGAGCTCGAGGGCCAGCCGTCCATCAAGCAGCAGGAGCTGGCCACCGTGGCGGCGGAGCTCACCGCGATCAACGCCGAGGTGGTGGTTGCGCGGACCGCCGTCATGGCAGCAGGCATTGACGGTGCCGCAGTCGGCAGTATGGAGGACGCGCTCGGGCGACTCCACAACGTCGTGGCAGCAGCACCTCGCGCCGTGGCGGCGGGGAACCAGGGCACACTCCTCGAGTCGCTCGGGACTCACCTCGCAGAGCTCCAGCGGGCCTTCGACGCCCATCGAGGTACCGCGCCCGCTGCCGCCGCCACTGGCCAGCAGGTCCCTGCACCGCCCACGGGGCCACCAGCGGCGGCCCCCATGGCCATGGCTGCTGACCTGGACAACCTTGGGACTCGAGGATCGACCAGGACCTGGCCAGTGCGCCTGGATGATTGGGATACGCCTGCGACGGCAACGAACTGTTCACGTTTTTGGCTTGTGACACGGATGGCGACTTCGTGCACGGGCACCTAGTGGACAGTTGCTCGATCGCGGCGGCTTCACCTCGATCGCCGTCTCCCAGCACGACGATCGCTGGCATGGAATGGCCCAGACCGAGAATGGGCCAACGACCTGAGGTCACAGCCTGGGAACGGCTTGGTGGCTTTCTGGTCTCTATCAGTCAGCAGTGGGCTATTGAGTTGTGGCTCTACTCGCCTGATGAGGCACGGGCGTCGTGGATGCGGTGGTGCATCGACGTCGTCTCCTTCGAGCTCACCATGACCCCCCTTGCAGGACGAGCTCATTCACAGGATGCGCACCACGGGACTTGACAACCCTGTTCTCTCCCTCGCTACCAACATTTGCGCAGCGGCATGGCAGCGCAACTGTCGTCATCGTGAACAGGTTTGCGGCCGATGGGAGGCCTTGCGTTTCTCACATCCTATCCGTTTGCATTGTGAGGCCCTGCAGGCCGTTGTCAAGCTCGGGGTTTACAAGCGCCACCTTTTCTTCAGGTCTGACCCTGAGGTCTCCGAGATGCCGACTGACGTCCGACTCCTTTTGGGCAACCTTCAAGCCACGGACCAGCTCCAAGCCATGATGGCACATGCATGGCGACCCAACATTGGCGTTCGGGCTGAAGATTTGCTGCGATGGTATCATGGGCTCCTTGAGCCTATCGACGTGGCCATCCCTACGCAAGAGCCTTACAACACCAGCGGTGATGCATGTGGCCCTGAACCCGACCCAGGACCCGCTGATGCTGATGAAGAAGGTGATGATTCCATCAGCTTTATGCAGCACGACGTTCTGACCACCCAGGGCGATGGTCCGACCACTGTTCTCTACATGCGCGGCCTGGATACCACGCAGGTTGCCGACGTGAGCTTCCAGTGCATATCGGGCCCGCTGCGCCTGGCTAATCGCAACGACCTTATCGGGGCAAGCCGCAACCCACCCGCCTCTGTCACTACTGCGGTCGCAGAGGGTGCACAGTGTCATTCCTTGGATACAGATGCTGACGCGGCCTCCGACAGGGTTGGTGCTGAAGTGGCCCCGAATGGGCCCTCTGTTGGGCGAAGGAAGCGGAAGCGTCGGGTCACCGACACAGGGCCTCAGCGGGCTCCCAAACGGTCTCGCTTACCTAGTGCTCCCTCACATGGTGGCTCCTCTCGGCCATGGAGACGCACCCCGAAAGCCTCCTCAAGAAAGTCTGCGGCGCGCTTGGTTACTTTAAATTCCAGTGGCTGGCGTCAAGCTAAGGCCCTTTTGGAAGAAGGGCCTCGTGGGGCCATTGTGGTTGTGCAGGAACGCAAACTACGAGGTGATCGCTTGGCCCGTGCGCAGGACTGGGCGCGCAGCTCAGGGTGGCAACCTTTCATGACTGCAGCCCGACCTGGGGAGGACGGTGCAACACAGGGGTGCGGTGGCGTGGCAATCTTTGTACCTACCCACATCAGTGTGACCTTACCTGGGCACGCTACATCTCACATCGTCATGGAGGCTTACGCCATACTCGTTCACATTCACGCCGGCCCCAAACATGGTTTCCTCTTGGGGTCCATCTACCTGGAGCAAGGTCTCGGGCTATCGGGGCCCAACCATGATAAGCTCAGGCTGCTCGGCTCGCCTTCTATCATTGGAGGCGATTGGAACGTGGGTCCAGATACTCTTGGGAAGACGGGTTACCCTGACAGGTTACGTGCTCGCGTGGTTGTGTCGGCGCAGGGTACCCACCGTGATCCCAAAACTGCGAGGCGCACTCTGCTTGACTACTGGCTGGCCAGTGATTGCGTCGCGGCCACCGTGACTACGCCAGTCACATTGGCAGACTTCCCACCCAGGAACCACTACGCGGTCATGACTACGTTACCAGGCGGGGTCCGCTCACACGCCGTTACGGTGTTAAGTGGGCCTGTGCCTTTCCCCGCCACCCACAGTGCTACATGGAAGGGCGTGGATGCCCACCAGGACCATGACGGCGAATTTCAATTCGACACGCCTCGGGGCTCACCAGAGCGACTATGGTCAGAGTTAATGGCGGACGACGCGGCTAGCCGCCTTGGGCCGCAGGACGAGCACCAGGCTCGATTAGATCACCTCTATGGTGCCCTGTACGATGGGGCCGAAACTGAGCTCGCCCCATTGTTTCACGACGGCGACAGTGCCGCGACGCAAAACTTGGGGCGTCAGCAGGGACCTCGCTACCGCCAGTCCACCTCTGGGGGCGCTCTGGCGCGTTTCCAACCTTCGGGCACTCAGGTTTCTAGGGCCCTTCGGCTTCTTCAGCTTCGGGTCCACGATGTGCGCCTCTCGCGCATCTCTCGGGGTTCCCTGCAGTGTGCCCACCAAGCCTGGGGTTTCCTGTGCGATTTTCTCTCTGGGACTGGACGGCATGGGCGTACGAAGAAATACCTACCCACGGGACTGGTCCCTCTGGTTTCGTACCTGATTCAACAGGTTATGGAATCCGCCCCTCACTTACACCATGCGCTGTTTCAGTTCGTGGGGGATTATCTTGGGAGCTTGGCGGCCCAAGAGGAGCGTCGACTGGGGCAGGCGCGAGCGAAGTCCTTCACAGCTTGGTTGCGACGACAGCTGAGCACGCAGCCTGGTGCAGTACACAGGTGGACGAAATCCCGCGGATGGGACTCCTCTCAAGTCCATGGGGCCCTCGGACCTACTAGCTTCCCTGACGAGGCTGTCGATTCACAGCGTACCTCATGGGGCCTAGTCTGGGACAGCACTCCTGGGCCCCCCCCCACATCTTGACGACGTCGTGGAAGAAATGCGCCACCTGTGTGAGCGCGGGCCCCGACTTCCACCCCTTAGGATTGCGCAGATTCGAGAGGCTGCTATGCAGTTTCCGACCCGCACCGCTGTGGGTGCTGACCGGTTCCGCCCACGACACTGGGCCTTCTTATCGAACGAAGGCCTCTCCTTCCTTGGGTATCTGCTATACCTATGTGAAGTATTTGGGTCCTGGCCCCAACATGCGCGTCACGTGCACATCGTCCTACTGGCCAAGCCCCTTGGGGGCTGCCGCCCCATCGCCCTCCTGCCCTCGGTCTACCGTGTATGGGCGAAAGCCAGGATGACATTTGTACGAGAATGGGCCTCTCAGTTATGCCGCCCCTACCTGGCCTTAGGGGTACAGAAGGCCACCACAGACGTGGCTGCTCGACTCCTGGTTCACGCCGAGGCTCACACAGGCGATGATCCGACCCAGGCTTCCCTACACGCTATCGTCGACATCGCCAAGGTTTTCGACAAGATACCTTGGCGAAAGCTCCTCGCTTCCGCTGGTGTGTTAATAACATTGGCTCTCCGTATGTATGGCTCGGCACGGCGTTTGGTATGGGATGGGGACGACTCTGCGGTTACTTGGGCGAGTCGTGGGGTCTTGCTTGGGTGTGCTTTGGCTATGTATGCTTTGCAATGCATCATGCTGCAGCCCTTCGATGCCTTGCATAGGCACGCGTGCGCCATATCTCGGACCATCGACCTTTACGCCGATGACGTTCCGATTTCGATCACTGGTTCGATCGAGGCCCTTTTTGACCAGGGACCAAAAATGCTGCGATTATTGCGTGGCGTGCTGGAACGCCTTGAGCTTCCAGCGGCTACGAATAAGATGAAAATAGCGTGCAGCCACCCCAAAACAGGACGGGCCATCTGTCACCTCGTTCGGGCTCTTGGGTTTGTATATCACAGTGCCCTGGAGGTTCTTGGGATTGGTGTGGCTGCAGGACGTCCGCTACGGTATCACAAGTTACGATCCCGACTGCTGGCCACAGGTCGGAGGGTATCCCGATTTCGTAGTGCACGGAGGGCTGGGCGAGTGGTCAATCGCTTCGTGCGACAGGCGGTCCCCCCAGCCCTCAGTTACGGGGCAGGAGTACATGGCATCCCGCACCTCTTTGTGCACCGCATACGGCGCCTCTTGCGCAGTGCATGGCATGCGCCAGGAGGTGCCGCCTCAGCGTGGCTGAGTGCTACGCTACAGCCCGACAGTCTGGCCGACCCCCAGGCGATGGCCTGGCGTGCCCCGATTTATCAGTGGGCACTGCTGCATCGTGACAAGGCTGTGTCGGGGGACGTACTACAGAGGGCTTGGAGCCAGCAGCTCCGCATCCTCTACAACCACCCCAAGCCTTGGAATAAAGTCTCAGACCCTGCTGGGGCCACACTACTGGCCTTTCGAGATCTCGGATGGACCACGGTCTCAGCTCATGTATGTCGTACCGACCTTGGGGACATCTTGGACCTCCGCAGAGATGCCCCCTCGACTTTGCTTGCGCTTGTCAAAGAATCAGCAGCTCGTCGCTTATGGGCCCTGTGGGCCAGCAGGCCCGAAAAACACATCCCAGAAGATGGCCCCGAAAGAACCCACTGGCTATTGGGTCGAGCCCCTCCTGAAGGCCCTGGGTCGAGTGCGCGTGGAGGAGTCGGGTTCAGAGGATGGCACCGGCCAGGGTCCCCCCCCCGACCAACACGGCAGCCACTACGAGCAGCGTGCTTCCTCGCGCTGGGAACCAGACCAGCGAGAGGCAGGTATGCTTCAGGCGCTCGTCACAGGTGGCGTTTGGCTACCGCAAAGGCTTGCGCAGCTGGGTTACACGGATTGCTCAGAGTGTGCGATGTGCGGTGCCGAGAAATGTGGAGTGCATCATGTGGTTTGGAAATGCTCGTCCGTTGTGCTATCACAGGAGCGTGAACAGGTGATGTCTCGCTTGGATACTCGTGGTTTTCCACCGTGTGTTGAGGGCTCTTGGTTTTGGGACCGTGGACTTTTTGGGCGGTCTTTCTTCCCCCTACTACCACCTCGGGACGACTCGGGGGCCTGGCACATTCTGTATGGAAACCCATGGGGTGTCTCGGGCAGGGTCTACACGGACGGGGCCTGTCGTCGAATCTGGTACTGGCCAGAGTCGGCCCGAGCAGGGTGGGGCTTCGCCACCTTAACTGATCGCGACCGTGGCGGAGTTCAATGTTGTGTACGGAGCTTTGCCAGGACCCGTGCAGACCTCCCCTCGGGCTGAGATATTTGCTGCCCTTCAAGTCCTGATGGCCTGCTTGCCTCCTGTCGTTATAGTTACCGACTTTAAAGGTTTTCCCGGTGGGCTTGTCAGGGGTCCAGCGTGGTGTTTGGCTCCTCGTCGAAACAATCTGGACCTCTGGGAGGCCATCTGGGGAAAATTCACGACCTAGGCGGTCTCCAGAGTGGTTGAGCTTTGTAAAGGGCATCAGCGAGGCGGCAGCGAAGTGGCGCGAGGTAATCGGTGGGCCGACCTGGCTGCCACCAGAGGGCGCGATTTACACTGTGCTTCGCAACAGGCCCGTAAGGCCATGGCTGCCGCCTTCAAGAATTATAATCTCTGTCTCCGATGGATGGTGCGTGCCCTCACCATCTATGGTGGCGCAGGGCGCTGTCCCACCAAGCCTAGGGTTAAGCGTGCCCGCCGCGCTCCCCCCCCTCAAGAAGACACGGGAGACGCCCCGTCTCATCTCCGACGCGTGTTTGTCAAAGTCCCAGGGGGGAGGATTTTCCGCTGCGGGCGCTGCAAGCTTGGCGCTAAGACTGCTGAGAGAGTCGGTCGCCTCGAGGTCCTCTCTTGCTCTGCTCGCCTTCGGGCTTCGGCGGCTACGCTCGGGCTCGAGGCATCAGAGCTTCCAGAAGTCCCCAGGCCTGGCCCCCTTGGGCCTGCGTTGGCCGTCAGCTCCTCCATGGGCTCTGACGCGTCCCCTCCAGCCTCGGCGTCTTTCCGAGACGTCGAAGCTGGCCGAGACGTGCAGTTGCCCAGTGAAGTGCCCGTGGCTGGCGACGACATCGCCATGGGGACGGAGGCTCCTATTCCTGAGAGGAGCGCTGGTAGCGCCCATGCTGCTGCCTTCCCGCCTCCTCACGTCTTCGTCGACGTGTCGGACCTTCGTCGGTCGTCCTGTCGTCCTCGTTCGTCTAGCTCTGAAGGTGAGGGCAGTCGCAGCGTCAGGCCGAGAGTCACTTTTGATCCTATCGTCCTGGCGCGGCCCCCTTGTCAGGAGCAGCAGGATCGAGCCATTGCGGACGTAGATGCCGACCTCCCCCGAGCTAAGCGCAGGCGTCAAGCTCGCAACAATCCCCGCCCCAGGTTGCCCGACACCACCGTGCCGATTACCCCGTTGCCAGCTGCTGGCATTGTGCCGCCCGAGGCGGCCAGAGGGCATCGGTGTTGGGTCGCCACAGGGGAGGTCGTTTTGTGTATTCTTTGCGGTTTTTACACCACTGGGGTCGCAAGTCACCTCCTCGTGGACTGTCGCCCTCCTGATTTCAACCAGATGTCGGAGAGGGCGACTCGTAATCGCAAACTGTTCCTGGAGTGTCGGCACCCTGCTGACGAAGGCAGGCCTAACGGCCGCACCCTTCGGACCCCAGGGCCGCTTTTGGCCACTGACCCCGAAACGCTCTGGTTGCGCTTGGGCCCCTCTGGGGCCTAGCGCTCGTTTTCGGGTTTGCATGTCTTGGCGCTTGCGCCTGGCTCGCATGAGCCGTCCGTGCTGGCGGCCCGCCCCGTGATCCTCGGCGGGGGCGAGTCGCACCTTGCTAGCACACTGGATGGGCAATTGCCTGTCCCCTCTCTCTGTGCACGCTAGGCGCGATTACTGCGCGGCGTCCGCCAGGGCAGTGCGTTATCCTCCTCCTCCTCCTCCTCCTCCTCCTCCTCTTCCGTAGCCACTTTGGCTCAAGTGGGCCCGCGCTTCGGGAGGCCCTCGCAGCGCGCCGCGCGGGCGCGTGGCGCGCCAGAGGCCGATGTCCGCCAGTGCTGGTGGCGGCAAGCCGTGGGCGGCGGCTTCCGCCCGGTCGCTGGCCCGGCGCCTACGGCGAGAGCGGCAGGCAGAGCGGGGCTGGTCCCGTGCGGCCGCGATGTCACGCCGCACAAAAGCGCTCAGGGCCTCGCTCGACGTCCACTGGCGCCTTGGTGACGCCGTCGGCTGCTACCTCCCCGCGCTCGGCGAGGAGGTGGCGGCCGCGCGTCTGATCGGTTGCGACCCTGCCCTCCTCGCCGAGGCGGACGCGGCGCTGGTGGAGGGCAACTCCGCGCGCCACGCGCCGCCGCCTGGCGCGGCGAGAGGGCTTGATAAGATGCCTGACGGGCTGGTGGCTCGGGCGCTCGAGCGCCTGCCTGCCGGAGGGCGCGGCGCCGCCCCTCCGCCGCGACGCGGAGCCGTTCGTCCCAGCCGGTGTCAGGCTGGTCTCCACGTTGCTGCGCGAGCTCGGCGTAGAGCAGGTCGCGTGCAATCCCAGCGTCGTCCCGCCTGTGCAGGGCCACTCCCACGTCGTGGTGGACGTGGGGCCCCTTCGCGATGCGGCTGGCGCGGACGACGCCTCTGTGTCAGAGGACTCGCAGTTGGTGGTCAACCTCGGCATGTCGGCTGAGGATGTGATGGACCCACTCGTTGCGCGCAGTGCAAAGCCGCTGGAGGAGGTTCGGGAAGATCCCGACGTGCAGGCCTCCAGCGAAGTCAGCAGCGTGGCCTCTCCTGGGGGTGCTGAGCACAGCAATGGTGTCTAAGGTGATGGTGACCTTGGCGTGGTGCTCTCCGACGGTGTGCATGCTGACGACCCTGTCGGAGGTCCTCATGATAGTGATTGCGTTGCCCTCGGCTCCGAGGGCGAGCCTGCTGATGAGCGTGGCGGACATGGTGTTGAGGATGGTGTGGCCCTCGGACATGGTTGTGGTGATGCTGATAGTGCTGTCATTCCGATCGCGCTCTTGCAGTTCCTGGTTCAGCAGCAGGACGCTCGCGCCGTGGTCCACGAGGGCGACCTCATTGTGCGGCAACTCGAGCAGATCGAGGACAGCATCCAGTCCGAGGCCCACCTCATGGAGTGCGAGACGGAGGTCCAGGAGGCCATCGACCAGATGATCGACCAGGGCCTTGTCTCCGTCATGAGGCCGTCGCTCGGCCCGTCGCGCGCGAGCCGCCTGCTCGCCGCTAGCCGCCCTGCGGTCGTGCGTTCGTGGCCGAGCTCGGGCCATCCTGGGGGTGGCGTAAGTGGCGGATCCTCGTATGGTCCCAAGCGCCACCCCCCAGGAACCCCAAAAAGCGGCGCCGAGGGTGGCGGAAGTGGCGGATCCTCGTGAGGTCCGAGCGCCACCCCGACGGCGCCGCCCGTCTTAGTCCTGCGGGACTCTTCCCCTCGGGGCTGCCTTACCTACCTACCTCCTCCTCCTCCTCCTTTTCCTTTTCCTCCTCCTCCTCCTCCTCCTCCTCCTCCTCCTCTCCTCCTTTTCCTGTTCCAACTCCTCCTTCTCCTCTGCCTGCTGCTCCGCCTCCTCCACCTCCTCCTCTTCCTCTTTTTCGTCTTCGCCCGCGGCGCTTCGCCCGCATCTCGGCCTCAGGGGGGCCATGTTCAGGTCCTCGGGCCATTCGTTCGGGGTGCGGTGGCAGACCGTGCGGTGACACGATATCTCGCCACACGGTCAGCTACCGCACGGTTTCGGGACCCTGGAGGCCCCAGGTGCCCGAGACATCCCAGGCCCCCAAAACCGTGTGGTGGCCCCGAGACCCGCTGACTCACCACACGGTGTGGGCACCGCACCGCTTGGGGCGCCCCGGATCAGAAACGGATTTGGGACGAAAGCTATCCCCTGAGGCAGCGGCTGAGACCTCCTGGGGGCCAGGGACTGAAAATAGTCAGTGCCGCGGAATTGAGGCAAGCTCGGGGGGTTCGACATCGACCAGCGGCCCGAGCCGATTCGACCTCTTTGTACGATCCGATGCGGCCCGATGCACACGTAGCGCTGTTCAACTGCGGCCCGATGCGGCCCGAGCTGGCGAATGCCGCCTGCTGGATGATTCTGGGGGGGGAGGGGGAGGGGGACCGTACAGATCCACTCCGTTCCTCCCCCTGTCCCCTCCCATGACGAACGGACAACACCTTAGCTGGCTGGATACGCCCGTTTTGAAACGCAACACGTGCCGTGTTCAAAACGTCCGTGTCAATACGTTGCGTATTGGCTCAACGTGTTGGTCCACGTTTTGGCGAAATTTTCGCGACGAACCTACGTCTTCAGTCTACGTGTTGAGCTCCGTGTTAACACGCTACGTGTTGCGTGTTGCGTATCGGGGCAGCTAGGAACAACACACGCACACCCGTACACATAAGAAGACCGAGGGTGCTGTGGGTGTGTGTTGTCGGATGGGGGTCCCTGCCCGAACGGGAGCCTGCCTCGAGATCCGACAACCCGCACTTATACCCGTAGCCAGTCCTCCTCCTTCAGACCCCTTTATGGGCAGTCGAACATGAAGCTGCATAAGCACAAACCTTCGACGGTCCGCGCGGATTTCGTGGATCTGCGCTGGGTCCCCATGGCGGCGCCTCCAGCGCCGCCCCTCGTGCGCTCCGCGCGCCAGGGAGGGGTGTCGAACGCAGATCCAAGAAATCAGCGCAGACCGCTGAACATGGATGTTTATGCCGTGTTTCCTCCTCCAGGTATGGGTGTGTGTGTGTGCCGTCCTTAGCTGCCCTGGTACGCCCGTTTTGAAACCCAACACGCATCGCGCTCAAAACGCCCGTGCCAATACGTTGCGTGTTGGCCCACGTTTTGGGGAACGCACCGCGTCGGACCTACGTTTTCAGTCTACGTGTTGAGCTCCGTATCAACACGCTACGTGTTGTGTGGTGCGCATCCGGGCGGCTGAATCCCGTTGACTCTGGCCTTAGTAATCCCGCTCAGTCCGCGGCCCAATTTGGCGTAGCAGCCCCTCAATGGGGGGGCTCAACACTTCCTAGTCCTTCCGACGAAGATCTTCCAGTAGCTGCCTCCTAATGTGTGTGTGTGTGTGTGCGTGCGTGCGTGCGTGCGTGTGTGTGTGTGTGTGTGTGTGTGTGTGCGTGTGTGTGCTGTCTGCCGCTGCTGGCCGCGTCGGCGCACTCGGCATGGAATGCTTCCACGTCCATGCCCTCCGCCTTCTCCCGCCCTTCGCGGCCGCCCTGTCTGTCTAGTTCCCCCCCTTGCACGCCAGCCAACTCGCGTATCGGCCGCCCCGATCGCCACCCGCTGGAGCAGAGCTTCTGCCTCGCCGCCCACGCAACGTGTGTGCTGTCCGCTGCACGGGGAACGAAGAATGACATGAGCATAAAAACTCAAGAACGAAGGATTGCAAAAAAACCCAGGATTGCAAAAAAACGAAGGATTGCAAAAAAACCCAGGATTGCAAAAAAACCCTGGATTTTTTTGCAATCCTTCGCCCAGGTTTTTTTTTTTTGCAATCCTGGGTTTTTTTGCAATCCTTAGATCCGCGCGGATTTCTCGGATCGGCGCTTGGCCCCCCTCCCTGGCGCGCGGAGCGCGCCATGGGCGGCGCCGGAGGCGCAGCGGCCAGGGGGGTCCAGCGCGGATCCGAGAAGTCCGCGCGGACCTCCGAGTTTTTATGTTTGCGTCATTCTTCGTTCCCCCTGTCGGGCCGGTCGAAAGGGGGGGATTGGTAAAGGGGGGGTGTTACGAAATCTGCTGCCCGCAGCTGGTTTCGGCCCCACTGAGGGGCCCATTCCTCGATACGTGGCCGCCTCCGGCGCCGGGAGGCGCCGGGAAGATCGGCCACGTGAGCTGATTCTCCCCCCCCCCCCTCTTTGCTCTCCCCCCCCATTTCGCCCGACTCCCGACCCTCTAGTTCCTCTCCTCTCGGGCAGGGCGGCGAGCCCTCCGAGGAGGCGGCCCTCGCGGGCCCGGCCCCCGCGGGGGGTGCAGCGGCCCAGGCTTCGAGCGCGCGCGACGTGCCCGCCGTGGGCGCCCCGCGGGCAGCGGTCGGGGGCCCGCTCCCCTTCGGAGGTCGCCGGGGAGGGGCGGTGTGGGCCAAGGTCGGAAACTGCAACGTATACATTTACCAGTGGCGGGCGGTCTCTCAATCCCAGGATTTCTTGAGGGTCAAGGACGACGCTGGGGTGGTGTGGTGTGTACTTTTTTCCCCGATGTCCCGTGGAAACAACGAAACATGTATACACCAGGGTCCCGTAAACACCAGGATCCGCTCCCAAGTGCAAATTTCAATGCAGGTCCAGAGAAAGCGTCGGTGTATAGAGTTCGATTCCCTACAAACAGGGGGTGATGACCACAGTGGAGACCCATGCCAAGAATCACCCTGCTAGCCTCCAGGGGGCCCAGGGTTTCCTGGAAGAGAGAGCGTGACGTTCTCACACCAAAAGTCCAGGGACGTCCTGGGGTCTCAGGGTTGGGTCTCTTTTGGATTTCCACGGTAAGCCAAAAAGGGGGGATATGACTAGGGAGGGGTGGATATCATGGCGGGGGCCAGTATATCTCCCCAGATGTGGTGGCGCCTCTTCTGATTTGCATTCGTCCCGAGCCCCCCCCCCCCGCCCCCTGGGGCCGCGCTCGTGCCTCTGGCCATGCTTTGCGCCCCCCCTCCTCGGGGACGCCCCCCTCCTAGTGACTAGCGGACGCCCCCGAGAGGAGGCGGGTCCCGAGGTTTTTCCTCGTTTTTTTTGGCCTCCCGGGATGACTCAACGAGCTCTCGGACTGCAAAACGCCACAGCAATGCTGCCCCGCAGCATGCATCGGAGGAGCGCCTGGCCAGCTGCGAAGACGACACAGGGAGGAGGAGCCAGAGGAAGGCGGAGGGGAAGGCAAGGGACGTCGTCTGGCCGGTGTGCTGATTGCCGAGGAAATGTGTTCTGGCCTCCTAGGGCTTCTTCTTCTTCTTCTTATGATGATGATGATGATGCTGATGATGATGATGATGATGATGATGATGATGCTGATGTTGATGCTGATGCTGATGCTGATGCTGATGCTGCTGCTGCTGCTGCTGCTGCTGCTGATGATGATGATGATGATGATGATTCACATTATTCTTATTATTATTATTATCATTAATTGTATTCTTACTGTTTTTATTATTATTGTTATTAGTATTGTATTTGTTATTATTATTGTTGTTATTGTCGTTATTATTTTTTATTATTAATATTATTATTACTATTATTATTAGTATAATTATTACTATTCGTATGTTTACATTACATTGCTATTATTACTCGTATTGTTCGTATTGCTGCTTAGTGTTCTTATTTGTATTACCAGCATTATTATTATTATTATTATTAGTTTATTATTAGTATTATTATTGTTATTCTGATGATTTGCGTGGTCGCGGCCTCGCGCGCGGCGGCGAGGCGGCGCAAGTCGAGCAGCCGGAGCGATCGAGCGAGCGCGAGGCGCCGGGCCCCTCGGCGCGGGGCCACCGGAGGGCTGGCCGCGCATGCCGCGCGGGCAGGGCGCGGGGCCCACACGCACGCGGCACGCCCTGCCGCCCGTCTCTCGGGGCGGACGACAGGGAGAAATTGGGAAAGGGGGGGGGTGCGAAATCTGCTGCCTGCAGCTGGTTTAGGCCCCACCGAGGGGCCCATTCCTCGATACATGGCCGCCTCCGGCGCCGGGAGGCGCCGGGGAAATCAGCTACGTGAGCTGATTCTCTACCCTACCCTTTGCTGTATCCCTCCCTTCGTTCCCCCCGACACCTGCGCGAGAGGGAGTTCCTACTCGGGTGAGCGCCCGGGGATCGACCACAGGCGGGGAGGGGAGGGCAGGACTATAGGCCTCCTGGACGGGGTCCGAGTAGATGGGGTCGGAGCATCGTGCCGCATCGCCGATGCATCGACGATGCGGCTTGATGTAGAGCCCGATCTTCTCTACGCGGACGTCGCCGCTGCATCGCTGGCGGCGTCGCCGATGCATCGCCGGTGCATCACCGATGCATCGCCGATGCATCGCCGATGTATCAACGATGCGACGCGATCCTTCGACCCCGTCTACTCCGACCCCATCTGGGAGGCCTCTAAGGACAGTCAACCCACACAGCTCAGAAAGGCAGCTATCGGGTTGGGAGGACGAGGTTGGGAGGGTACAGGGCACGACTGGTGCAATAGGAACGCCCGACATGTGCGCGACACTGCGGGAGATCTGACCATCTCTCCCAACCCCAGCCTCCCAACCCGATGAATGGCTTCCTGAAGAGTGGGGATGCGCGACTTTCCAAGGTTACCCTGGCATCCATCTCCGTCGGCCCATCCTGGGCGGCTCTCGCTGGCCGCGCTCCGCTCGCGACAAGTGCCGGCGGGGCCTTCCGAGGCCCTTGCATCCCGATCGTGCGTCCTTACGGGTGGGGGCGTTCGTTGAGGAATGCGCCCAGGATGCTGCAGGCCCTGCAGGATTCCTTCTCTGATGAGGGCGGCGGGGATATCCATGGCCAAGCGTCGATTGGAGTTCCACCGGCCTCCAGACCCTGGATTCCTTGCTCAAGGGTTCCTTATCCAAGGCCCCCACCGTACTCTACGGGTTGATTGTAATCGTGAGCGATGGAGCCTGCAGCCCGGCTGGGCATCCCGCGGGGCCCTCTGTGTGAGCAGGAGGGAGCCTCGCCGTCCGCCGACGCAGATCTCCGATGCTCTTGTCCGCGCGTGCAGTTCTCGGTGCGGGGCCACCGGGAAGTCCCGACTCATTCCCCAGGGCTGGCCGTTCATCCCGAGCCGTTTGATGACGGCCCCAGGTCCTGGCGAGGGCCCTGCAGAAAATGGCGAAACACCTCCGCCTGAATCTTCTCGCGACGGAAAGGGAGGGAGGAGGGGTGCGGACCAACATCTGGTGGCCTTCGGCCCATCCCGCCCCCGTGCCTGTCTCTGGGCTTCTTGGGAAGATTCTCCTTGGTCGCGCCAGGAGCCCCAGGAGATTTGGGGATTCGGGGCCGGGGCCCCTGATAAGAATTTCAGGATTGAGAGCCGAGGCCCAGGGGATGGAACACGGGACCTGAGGACACTCCAGCTTGTGCCTCGCAGGCACGGTGGCGGATAGACGTTCGATTCCTGGAGATCGACATTCACCCTTGTGATTTGGGCTGCGGTCGGGCGCGAACTGATTACAGGGCCAGCCCCGAATCATGTGATGTTTGCGATGAGGAGACATTTTGCAGACCAAGATGTTCGATTCCCAGGGGGGTCGTCCCAGCCGCCGATCGCCGCCAGCTCAGTCTGGGTCCCATGGCGCCGCGGCGCGCCCCCCTGCGCGTACCGCCCAATGGCGCCGCTGGAACCTGGCGGGGCGCGGTCCGACTACGGCAGGGTGCAGGTGTCGGGCGCTGTCTTCTAGCATGTGCTCGCTTGGCAAAGGAAGCTCAAACTTCCCCTCTCTCCTCCCTCCCCTCCTCCCCATCCTCGTCCTGCCCTCCCCCTCTTCTTCCTCCACCTCATTCCACCTCCTCCTCCTCCTCCTTCTTCTCGTCCTCCTCCTCCCCCTCCTCCTCCTCCTCCGTCACTCCTCCTCCGCCTCCGTCACTTATACTCCTTATCCTTCTTATTCATTCCTCCTCCTTTCCTCCTCCTCATCCTGCTCCTCCGCCTCCCCCGTCCCTCCTCCTCCTCTTCTTCTTCACATTTATGTTTCTTCTTCTTCTTCTTCTTATTATTATTATTATTCCTTCCTTACTTCCTTCCTTCCTTACTTCCTTCCTTCCTTCCTTCCTTCCTTCCTTCCTTTTCCTCCTCCTCCTCCTCCTCCTCGTCCTTCCTCATTGCTCCTCCTCCCTCATTCCTCCTTCTCCTTCTCCTCCTCCTCCGCCTCCTCCTCCTCCTCCTCCTCCTCCTTCCCTTGTTCTGCCCCCACTGCCTTCAGCGTGAGGATACCGCGGTGGACGATCATGCAGAAATTGGAACGGAAGTGCAGGCGGAACGTAGGGTGAAGACGGCCATCATCGCGAGGAGCGTGATCGTTTTCTTATTCGTTGTTTTGCCGAGCCGCGCGGACCCTCGCCCCCCCTTTCCCCCCCCCTATGGAGTAGAGGAGGAGGAGGAGGAGGAGGAGGAGGAGGAGGAGGAGGAGGAGGAGGAGGAGGAGGTGGCGCCTGCTTCAGGCAGGTGGAGTCTTCCCCCATGGGACGCACTGTTGCAAACCGTCGCATCAAGCAGGGGTCCGGAGCCAGACCCCCACCCCCCCTCTCCCTCCCCCCCCCTCTCCCTCCCCCCCCTCTTCCCCCCCTCTCCTCCCCCCCCCTCTCCCTCCCCCCCCCCCTCTCCCTTCCCCCCCCCTCCCCCCCCCCTTCCCCCCCTTCTGTCCCCCCTTCCGCCGAATTTAGAAAAAAACGTTCACGAGGGGAGATGGGAGGCCAGCGCGCCTCGGACCCGCCGGCCCGCTCCCCTGCGCGACCTCCCCCGCCCCTCCTGTGCCCGTCCAGGTGCGGGCGAGAGGCACGAGGGGCCCCTCCCCCTCTTCCATCCTCCTCCTCCCCCTTCCTCCTCTCCCTCTCTCCTCATCCTCCTCCTTCCTCCTCCTCCCTCCCTCCTCCTTCCTCCTCCTCCTCCTCCCCCTCCTCCATCCTCCTCCTTCCTCCTCCTCCCTCCTCCCTCCTCCTCCCTCCTTCTCCTCTTCCTCTTCCTCCTCCTTCCTTCCTCCTCCTCCTCCTCCTCCTTCCTCCTCTTCCTCCTCCCTCCTCCTTCCTCCTCCCTCCTTCTCCTCTTCCTTCCTCCTCCTTACTCCTCCTCCCTCCTCCTCCTCCTCCTCCTTCTCCTCCTCCTTCTCCGCCTCCTCCTCCTCCTCGTCCTTCCTCATCCTCATTTCTCATTCCTCACGGCGGCTTCGGCATCGTCCATCTGTGGACGTTGTCGTAGGCTTCTCTGAGGCTGCGCTAATCAGTCAACTCCTGCCTTACTCCAACTCCTCCCGTATTCCTCCTCTCTTCTCTTCCTTGCTCATTGCTTCTCCTCCCTCAATCCTCCTCCTTATCCTCCTCCTCCTCCTCCTCCTCCACCTCCTCCTCCTCTTCCCTCCCTCCCTCCCTCCCTCCCTGCCTCAATCCTCCTCATCCTCCTCCTTGTCCTCCTCCTCCACCTCCTCCAGCCGTGCTGCTCCCTCGGGAGTTTCAGGAACATGTGGGCGCGTGCCTCGGCGCGGCATCGCGTTTGCGAGCCTTTTCTTTCCCCCTTCTGTCGGCAGTCCGCCCTGCCGACTCTTTCATTCGGTGAGGTCCCGCAGAAGCACAGCTTGTGAGCTCTTGCTGGGGTACTCCATGAGACATGAGGATGGCATCTTGGCTGGCTATGGTCGTCCCGAGCGGGCTTGTGGGCGATGCGGGGCAGCTCGCAATTTGACCAGACGCATCCGATGCCGGTGTGAGAACGCAGCGCCTGCACATATCAGACATCGCGCGCTCGACGCGCAGACAAAGTTCCTGTGTAGTGTTGGTAAGGGGCGGAGAGGAACTGGGAAGAGTGCGCCAGGGAAGAGCAGAACGACCAGCGTCGGACAGTTGCAAGCACAGCTGGACGAGCTGGTCCAGGATTCCCTGGCAGCGATGGCAAATGAGAAGGAGATGGCAAGGGTGGCGGAGGTATTTCAAGATGGGGCCCTGTCCGGCCCCAGATGCGGCCAAGATCCGCGTGCTCCCCCTGAGCCTCCGCTGTGCCCCATTTCGGCCATACGCATTCCACGCCTGCCTCCGAGGGCGGTGAGGACCCTCGCTGGCGCGGCAAGCACGGAGTGCTCCAACAGAACGCCCACCGCGGCACCCGTCTTCTGATGCCAATCCGGCCGAGACTTCGGCCGTAGCCCATGTGGCGGGTCCCCGAGAATCCTGAGCCCAAAAAGGTTACCATCTCTCGGGAGGCAGCTGTTTGTTTCCGCCGGCCTCCGCCGGCCCCCGCAGGCGGAGGCGACCTCGTGCTTTTTCCCCCTGCCTCCGCCGACCTTCCGTCGCCTTCACGCCGAGGAAGCGATGGCAACTCCTTCGATCCTTGAAGGCAAGGTCTTGTTTGGAACCCCCATTCAGAGAAGAAAAACAAACGTCATAAACATAGACTTTTTGTGCTCCGTGCGGAGTTCCTGGATCTGAGCTGGACCCCCCCTCCCTGGCGCGCGTGGCGTGCCAGGGGCGGCGCTGGAGGCGCCGCTGGGGGAGGGGCCCAGCGCAGATCCCAAAAATCTGCGCGGAGCGCCAAAAGCTTGCGTTTATAGTTGGGGCTCGACCACAAGAAACCTTCCACAAGAAACCCAACCCTGGAACCCCAGGCCGTCCATTCACTCTTGGTATGGGGACGTCACGCTTTTCATGGCAAAAGCATCGAAACCCAGGAACCCCAGGGCTGGAAAACAGCGGCAGGCAGAGGGTGTTTCTAGGCATGGGCTTCCACCGTGTGGCGCTTTTTTCCTTCGTCTGGTGTAGACGCTCCGGCACCGGCTAGTCGGGCTAGTCTCACCTCCCGCTGCTCTCTTGTTGCTCCCTCGCCGAGGAGGAGGAGGAGGAGGAGGAGGAGGAGGAGGAGGAGGAGGAGGAGGAGGAGGAGGAGGAGGAGGAGGAGGGGGAGGGGGGAGGAGGAGGAGGAGGAGGAGGAGGAGGAGGAGGAGAAGTGTAGACGCTCCGGCCTCGGCCGAGAGCAGGCCTGCCTGCGGCGGCCTCCCGCCCGAGCCGAAGCTGCCCCCCCCCGCCTCGGGCCGGGCAGGGCTGCGGGCAGGGCGGCGGCGCGCGGGGGCTGCGGCGCGCCGAGGGCGAGGGCGCAGAGGAGGAGGGAGGGGGGGGGAGGAGGTGGGAGGACGGAGGAGGGAGGGGAGGAAGGGAGGGAGGGAGGAGGGAGGGGGGGCGGGAGGAGGAGGAGGGGGAGGGGAGGAGGAGGAGGAGGAGGAGGAGGAGGGAGGAGGAGGAAAGGCGGAGGAGGAGGAGGAGGAGGAGGAGGAGGGAAGGAGGAGGAGGAGGAGGAGGAGAGAGGAGGAGGAGGAGGAGGAGGAGGAGGAGGAGGAGGAGGAAGGGGAGGAGGAAGGAGGGAGGGAGGGAGGGAGGGAGGGAGGAGGAGGAGGAGGAGGAGGAGGATGAGGAGGAGGACCAGGAAAACAAAGACGGTGCAGACCCAAGATTCATCAACAATGTTGCAAGAAACCCTCCCTTTATGCTCCCTCTCTCTTTGCACAGGCCACTGCAAGGAACAGTTTCCATTGAAAGAAGTGCCCCGTTGGAAATCAACCGCTTGAACATCTTGAGCTGCTGTGCCGAAATACCACTCCTGGGACTTCAACGCCGCGAATCACCATTACTGCTGCGTCTTGACGATCCTGACTCGTGCCAGAACACCTGGGGCGCCATCACCACGAATTAACGTAACTGTTATGCCCGGACAATCCGACATAGTGCCAAAGCGTCGTTTCTGGGATGTAAACCACGAGAAGCAATGACACTACGGTTATCCCTGAAAGCGAATGTGCCCGGCGCTAAGGCGACGGCCGCATTTTGAAAACCACCCGCCCTCCATCCCTGAAGCCTGTTGACATGTTAAAGACGGGTGTCTGCGGCGCGAAGGCGGGGGCGCCATTTGGAAACCTCCCGCCCTCCATCCGCGAGGCGCTTGCGAATTCTAAAATCGAATTTGCGCGGGGCTAAGGCGAAAACGCCATTTTGAAAATGGTCCGCCTCCATCCGTAAATGTGTTGCAACTGTGTAGAAACAGTGTGCGTGGCGCTAAGGCGAGAGCCGCAATCTGAAAACGACGTGCCCTCCATCCGTTGAACTTGAGCGAGCTTTTCACACGGATGCTTGCGGCGCTAAGGCAGGAGCCACATTTTGGAAGCGACCCGCCCTCCATCTGCGAAGCTGCTGTCAGTTTTCCAGCTTGAGGCTCATATGTGGTGAGGACTCCGGCGAATCGCCTGGCCCGCCCTTCCGACTGGGCCCTCCACCCGTGAAGCTGGTGGAAGCTCTAAGCTTCAGGACCATACATTGTGAGGAAGTCTCAGGCGAAACGCCCAGCCTGCACTTTCGACCGGCCTCGGGGTGCGACAGGGAGGAGTTATGCAAGGAAGGGGAACGGAGAGGGAAGACGACGACGACGACGACTTCGACGATGCTGCGCGGGTCTCGCTTCTCGCCCGTACCTGCAGCTCTGCCTCCCCCGCGCGGGCGGCACGAGGCGAACCGAGCTGAGCGGAGACCGACTTTCCGGATGGAGGCATTCCTTCTCACCTCCCACCAAACCACCCCAACCCAACCCGAAGGTCTCGATTTGCCCTCCATTTCCAGTTTGGGGGGGGGGGGTCGGGGAACATCGAGAAAACACATATGGAACCCTTACCCCCCTCAACCCGAAATTCGGGTCTTCGGGTTGGGTTGGGGTGGTCTGGTAGGTAGTCACCTTCTCACTCCGGTCTCAAGGGCAACGGCCGAGGGGGATTGACCCAGGGGCAAAAGCATGGGCCCCCGACCGCCCCACTCCTTGCCGACCAGGGCCCGGGCGACCCACCCTGCCCAGAGCCGCATGGGCTTGCCTTCGAGGGCCACTTGGCGATCTACCGGCGACGTATCCGCGATTCCAAGGGAAGGGTTTCCCGTTCTGAGCCAGTCACCCCCTTTCGTTCCCCTCACCGTCTCTTCCCCCCAAACCCTCCGACGTCTCATTATCGTATCCTCCTTCTTCCCTCCGCCTGCCAGAGCCCCGCCTGGGAGGAGCGGGATTGGACCCAATAGTGTCGTTTCCAGGTGGAGTACGGCGGCGACCTCTTCTGGGCCAGCGTGCAGACTTTCAACGACGATGGCACGTGCCGCGTGGTCTACGAGGAGGACGGCAGCTACGAGGACTTCCTCCGACGCCCTACGATGGGGGGGAGTCCAGTGGTTTGGAGAATGTGGCTGGGGCAAAGGATGCGAAGTCAGGAGTGGACGGAGGATCCATATCCTATTCCTCGACAGGTCCCCCGTCGAGGAGTAGGATAGGATAGGGGACCTCCCATCCTGTTCCTCCCCCCCTCCCCCTCCTCCTCCCCCCTGCTCCTGCTCTTCCTCCTCCGCCTCCTCTTCCTCCTCTTCCCCCTCCTACTCCTCGACAGGTCATGGTGCAAGTGGCATCTGAGCAGAACGTCGAGGTCCCGCGAGACCACCCGAGAGCCCAGGGGAAGCTTCCCGCGGCACGGCGAGAGGCCCCCAAAAGTGACTCCACTAGATCTGCCACTCCTTCTCGTCCGATTGCGTCACAGTCGTCGTCTTCCTCGCCACTGTCATTGTTGTCCGTCGTTGTCGTCGTCGTCGTCGTCGTCGTCGTCGTCGTCGTCGTCGTCGTTCTCGGTGTCTCTATCTTCGTCGTCCACGTTATCGTAGTGCTCGTCGTGGTTCACGTCATGGTTGTCGTCGCGTCGTCGTCGTCAACATCGTTGCCGTCGTCAACGCTGTCGTCGTGTCGCCCCGCCTCTCGAGGCATCTTCCCCGAGGTTCCCCCGAGGCGCCCAGACATCGGACGGCTCGATCTTGCTCTGAGATGTGGGCCGCTGGACCTCTCCACCCCGCGCCCGGGGCCGGCTCTTCCTCCCGAGCCGTGTCCTGAGGGTCCTGGGGCGGCCGGCACCGGCCGTCTTGCTCTCGCCCAGCCGACAGGTGTCCGTCGGCGGCGAGCCCGGGGGGGGGGGGAGGAGCGAGAGGGGGCGGGCCATCCCAGGAGGCTCCGCTGCCCCTTCTGAGAAGTGGTGTTCCGTCGGGCCTGTCCCTCTACAGGGGGGACATTCAAAGATAGTCGAAGGACAGTCTGGGGGCGACGATGGTTTGGACCATGTTTGAGTATTTTGGAGTGTTGTGTGACTGTTTTGGGTTTTTCGCCCAATATCCCCCTGCAGGGGCACATGCCCGACCTAAGAGAAGTGTTTGAGCTCACAAGGGGCCGGGCCTTTTGAGAGGTTTCCCGAGCCTCCCCCGAAGACAGAGAACGCCTCTCGGCAGGCGCGAGGCCTCCCGAGAAGCCCCGCCGCCTGCTGAGAGGGCCTTCTCTTTTGCAACTCCCCCCCTCGCCCGCCGCCTAGTCTTGCTCTTGTCGAGACGCTGGGTGTCTGGGCTGGCCGAAGGCCTCGGAAAGGGGAGGTCTCTCGGACGGGGCTGAGACGAGGATCAATCCGTTCCAGAGCGTTCCGCAGCGCTCTCAGAGCGTTCCAGAACGCTCTGAGAAGGCCGCGGTGACCGAGACGTCCTCCAGAGCCGCCAGATCTCAGGGATTCTCGCTGTATCCTCACCCGATGTTGTCCTCGTCCTGGCTCTTGTCGAGACGCTGGGTGTCTGGGCTGGCCGGAGGCCTCCAAAGAGGGAGGTCTCCAGCGGTGCGCCCCAGAGGCCTCCATGTAGGCCCGCGATGGAGCGTGTTTTTTTGAGACTCCGGCAAGCTTTCTTGCATGGACTGGAAGCGGGGGGGAGGGGGGTGAACTTGAAGCAAGCCAGAAACGACTGGCACGTGCGGACATCACGTAAGTCGAAAGGCCATTGCACGCTCGTATTGGTTTGAAGAGGCGCGGGCGGGGGGGGGGTGCGAACGCCATGCAAGTAACAATCTTGCCTGTATCCTGAAATGACAGGCTCTTGTTAGGGGAACGAACACTGCCATGAACGTAAAAGCTCGAAGGTCCGCGCGGATTTCTCGGATCGGCGCTGGAGATCCCTGGCGGCGCCTCCGGCGCCGCCCCTGGCGCGCTCCACGCGCCGGGGAGGGGGGTCCAGCGCCGATCCGACCAATCCGCGCGGACCTCCGAGCTTTTGTGTTTAGTATATGTTGCTCCTTTCCATGACATGTGGCCCTCGGAGGTCCAGAGGCCGAAGGCCGGCGGCCCAAACGGCCAGATCGTCGCACAGCGCCCTTGCCCCTTCTCCTCCTCCTCCTCCTCCTCCTCCTCCTCCTCCTCCTCCTCCTCCTCCTCCTCCTCCTCGTGGGGCCTGCGACTTTTCTGGACACGTTCGGGCCAACGACACTGCGCCACGACATCTTGGTGTCCAGCGTCTTGGGGCAGCCGCCTCCTTGTGGCGAGCTCCTGGTGGCGTGTCTGCGGTGAGGGGGGGGAACAAAAAAGAGAGGCCGAAGGCCGGCGGCAGCCCACGTGCGCCTCGCGAGGGCGGGCCGCGTTCTCCGCGCAGGGCTCGCAGGCGGGGCCGCCCGGCCCTGGAGGGCCGGGCCCCCGGCCAAAGGCGACGAGGATGGCAACGACGAGCACGACGACGACGACGACGACGACGACGACGACGACGACGACGACGTCGTTGTCGACGACGACGACGACGACGACGACGACGACGACGACGACGACAATCGAAGAAGAAACAACGCTACAAAGATGCACTTCTGGCGCTCCTCGCAGATCCGAGAAATCCGAGCGGGCCTCGAACAGTTTATATGTTGATGCCGTTTTTTCCTTACTCTGGACGGCGGCGAGAAGCGGGAGGAGTACACTCGAGCACCTGATTAGGAAGCCTCCTCCGGAAAAGCTGGGCCAGCGTGTCTGAACCAACCTGCCCAGAAGGGAGCCCAGTTTCTTGAACACGTTCGCCCCTCCAGCGTTGAGGACAGAAGATGGCCCAGGCTTGGTTTAAGAAGCTTCTGGGAAGCTGGCCGTTATTTCTTAAACATATTTTGTTGTATCACATGTTCGACTGTAGGGTAAGGGGGAGGAGGAGGAGGAGGAGGAGGAGGAGGAGGAGGGAGGAGAGGAGGAGGAGGAGGAGGAGGAGGAGGAGGAGGAGGAGGAGGAGGAGGAGGAGGAGGAGGAGGAGGAGGAGGAGGAGGAGGAGGAGGAGGGGGAAGGGGAGGAGGTGGAGGAGGAGAGGTTGGAAAGGAGGAGAAGGAGCAGCGTAAGGCTTCCGTGTGGGAAGTGTCCGTTCCGCCAAGGATCATGGAGGCCTCTGGAGGTCCCCGGGGTCCCGCCCCGCGCAGGCCTCTGAAGGCCCGACCAGACCCGAAGGCGCCCAGACGTTTGCCAGGACAGCGGGCATGACGAGGCCAGCCCGGGCGAGGGCTGGCTACGCATGCGTCCGCAGGTCTTCCCGGCGCCTTGCCCTGCTAGGGCACGGTACGCTGGCTCTCCGCATGCGTGTCCAGCGCGTGGCGTCCACGTCTTCAGCACGTGCATCCGGCCACGTGTGTGTTCCAGCCTCCTGGCGCCGAGTTGCCTTCTCCCAGCCGTGCCCCATCAGTTCTCGAGGGTCGGAAGCACAGCTCAGCTGCCCCGAGAAGGTCAGGGGACCGAGCCGCCTTCTTGTCCTCGGGCGGCCTCGCGGAAGGGCCGAAGGGGACGGAGGAGGAGGAGGGGGAGGAGGAGGAGGAGGAGGAGGAGGAGGAGATGGAGGAGGAGGAGGAGGAGAAGGAGGAGGAGGATGAGCCTCTCTCTGCCTCTTCTGCGTGTCTCCGTTTCTCGCTTCCTCTTCTTCTCCTCCGCTTGCGCGACTCGGCCCGCCGGGATCCTGCGCGGCTCTTGCTGCCGAGAGGCCGGAGCCGGACGGAGGAGGCAGTTTCGGTGACGCAGCTCTCCTTGGTGTTTGCCTCAAGGCGCCGTGTTGGCAGAGCGCTGCGGCCTGCTCCAACCCCTTGCACAGTCCAATGGGGATGACGGGCCCGAGCTGTCGAGGCTGAGTGCCGACTGCGCCGCCCTTTGTCTGCTCAGTCAGATCCAAGTGTCATTGGAATGCTTGCATGTGCTCTTCTTGCGTGACTATCTTTCTTGGCGTCAACGGAAGGTCAGAGGCCATGCAGGTGATACCGTAATCGGTGACGCCCGTGCTCTCAAGCTCTAAAATGGTAGGGCTGACGAGTATGCCAATGACGATGCTTATCTTCATGGCAATGCCTTGGAGGACCTGACGAAGTACAAACTAGTCCTGAGTTGCTGGTATGCCTTGGCCCTAGCAGTGGTCCAGATTGGAGACCCAATCCCATGGCGCAAGATCTTTCGACAAGTTAGAGCGTACCATTCGGGCAGCCTGTCCGATAGCCCTCTCCAGCAAGACGCCTTACCGAATGCTTCGGACTGACTGCAGGCGGTGCCATGTCTATTTCCGCGCGACATCTCTGGGGGTGGGGGTTGGCCTGTGCGGCCCTGGCCCCTCCGACGCGTCAGTTCGCCAGTGTTGCTGTGCCCCTTCCCCGTGCCCTTCACGTCGGGTGGATAGCCTGGTCTCATCTGCTCGTCACGCGGCGTGGGGCCCAGGTTCAGGGGGGCGCCTCGCCTGTCGCTCAATCCGTTCTCGAGCCATTCTGTTCCGGCAGCGGCGGTGGCCTCTGAGCTGCGAGCTTCCTTGGCCGCAGGGTGATCCATGGAGTGCGCCCTGGCCCCCGACGCTGACGCTTCGCGAGGAGGCGGACTGATGGCACAGGCTCGCATCCGTCTTCCAACCGCTTCTTCGGCAGTTCGTTCGATTATGCGTTGGGCGGGCGAATCGAACACAACTGGAAAATCGTAGTAGGATGAGGGGGAGGATGAGTTGCAGGTGGAAGAGGGTGAGGAGCAGGATGCGCAGGAAGCGCAGGACGAGCAGGAGGAGAAGGAGGGGAGGGATGAGGACCAGAGCAAACCAAAGACGTAATACCGATGCTGCAGTATACTCTCCCTCCCCAAGTTCCCTCATACGTCCCCGCAAGCCTCGATGTCCACTTCGAGAGGTGCCCCTCTGAAAGATCGTCACCCCTCAGGCCGGCCATGCGGGCGAGGGCACCGTTCTGATAATGATCGCCCTGCCTCGCATCCCTCCAGGGAGTGAACAGGAACGCGCAGAGGTATGATCAGACAGTTCAAGGAGGCGTCCAGCGTGATCCCCTGTGTTGAGAAAGAGCGCCCCTCCTGTGCAACTCTCGCATCGTTTGTTGTCACGCATGGCCATGAGCGTCGAGGAAGTCTCAAGCAAACATCCGAGCTTGCAAAGGAGCTGCCCTCCATCCGTACAACTGCTGTGCATGTGTAAGTCCCTGTTGCAAGTTGCAGCAGCTTGAGGCGATCGCCCAATTTTGAAAAGGAACCGAGCTTCATGTTGTGATTGGAGAGGCCTGACGGCCGGTGCCGCCGACCCTGATCGAAAGGGCTAGGAGTGGGAGGAGGAGGAGGAGGAGGAGGAGGAGCAGGAGGAGGAGGTGGAGGAGGAAGAAGAGGAGGAGGAGGAGGAGGAGGAGAAGGAACCGAGCTTCGTATTGTGTTTTGCGAAGGTCTCAGGCAAACGCTTGAAGACGGATGCGCGCGGCGCTAAAGCGAGAGCCGAGGATTTAAGCAGGAGCCGCTCTCCATCCCTGAAGCCGTCGCAAGCGTTCAAGACGACTGTGCGCAGCGCCATGCGGGAGCCACGGTTTGAAACGGAGCCGCTCCCCAGCCTTGTAGCTGCTGCAGCCTGTGAAGACACATGCACGCGGCGCTAGGTTGAGAATCCCATTTTGAATCGGACCCCGTCTTTCACCACCCACCAAACCACCCCAACCCAACCCGAAGGCCTCAATTTGCCCCCCATTTCCAGTGGGGGGGGGTCGGGGAACATTGCAAAAACACATATGGAACCCGTACCCCCCCCAACCCGAAATTCCAGTCTTCGGGTTGGGTTGGGGTTGTCTGGTAGGTAGTCAGTCTTTGAGGCTGCTGCACGCTTTGAAAATCGATTGTGCGGGGCGTCTTGGCGAATCCTTGAAACTATTGCACGTCATTTTGACGAATGTGCCCGGCATTTTGGCGAGAGGCACATTTTGGAAATTGGCAGCCCTCCATCCGTGAAGCTTTTGCAAATATAGAGTTTCAGGATCATCGATGGTGATGGTAAGCGCCCAGCCTGCCCTGCGGACACGTGTGGGGTGCGACAGAGAGGAGTTGTTTATCAAGTGGAGGAAAAGGAGGAAGAGGAGAAGGAGGAGGAGGAGAAGGAGGAGGAGGAGAGGAGGAGGAGAGGAGCGACAGGTACAATAATGAAGCGCTGGAGGTAGTTGCGAGAGGGAGGAACAAGGAGGAGGAGGAGGAGGAGGAGGAGGGGGAGGCGGGGGAGCGAGACGGTGGAGCGATGATGAGTGTGATGATGATGATGAGGAGGAAGATCATTGTGCTGGTGATGGTGATAGTGTTGGGAATGACGATTATAATCAAGATGTGTAGGAAGAGGAGGAGGAGGAGGAGTTGCGAAAAGAAGCAGCAGGAAGAGGCGGAACAAGGATAGCAGTAGGATGATGGTGATGTTGGTGTTGATGATGATTCATGATCATGATGATGATGAAGAGGAAGAGGAGGAGGAGGAGGAGGAGAGAGAGGAGGAGGAGGAGGAGGAGGAGGATCATTTGGAGGAGAAGGCGGAGGAGGAGGAGGTGCAGGAGCAGCAAAAGTCGGAGGAGGACGAGGAGAAGGAACAAGGAGGCGGAGGAGGAAGAGGAGGAGGAGGAGGAGGAGGAGGAGGAGGAGGAGGAGAGGAGGAGGAGGATAACCAGGAGGACGAGGAAGAGGAAGAGGAGGAGGAGGAGGAAGAGCAGAGATTTGGAGGGAGAGGAAGAGGAGGAGCTCGAGCAGGAGCAGGAGGAGGAGGAGGAGAAGGAGGAGGATGGACCAGGCGAGCAAATGGCACCGGAGCAGCAGGCCCAGCGCCAGCCGCGCCGACGCGCCTCCCGAGGACGTCAGCTGCAGCCGCGTCCACGCGCCGCCCGAGCCGGCGGGCGCCGAGGCCCCCGCGCCGCCGCAGGGAGCCGGAGGCGGCCCCCCCGCCGCAAGACGCCCGCATAGTTCGGACGTGTGCTGTTCTTCCTTGGTGAGGGCCATCGAGCATAGTATCAGTAGTAGTAGTAGTAGTAGTAGTAGTAGTAGTAGTAGTCGTAATCGTAGTCGTAGTCGTAGTCGTAGTCGTAGTCTTAGTCGTAGTAGTAGTAGTAGTAGTAGTAGTAGTAGTAGTAGTAGTAGTAGTAGTAGTAGTAGTAGTAGTGATAGTAGTAGTAGTAGTAGTAGTAGTAGTAGTAGTAGTAGTAGTA